TCAGTATGTATTAGAACAATACCCAAAAATTATTTTGGATATGCAATATGTTTTAAAAAATTAAAAAATAAACAACAAAAATATGCATGCAATGCTGCAACATAAGCAGTGCATTATTTGGGGACATAATCTTTAACATGCATTGCTTATACTTTTAAAAAGTTTAGAAAACAATAGGTCCTGTGGAGTACAACCAATATCTTTGAGTAGAGTTTGTGACAATTTTAGGGATAAAGGCAACTCGCTGACAAACAACTTGAAAAGAGAACACCCATTTACCCAAGATGTTTGATGTACATAACATTACAAAGTCCTCCAGACACAATAGGATAGCTGCACACATGAAGTCACAGTGATTGCCATATCATATGTAAGTTCAGGGCAGGCTCAATCCAGACCAAATTTCTTCCTGGAGAGGAGGGGTTGGTATGAAGTTTCTCCTCTAGCTGAGCAGCTGCTCTCAATTGAAGGCTGCAGAGAAAGGAAGACTAATTTTCTTTAAGAACAATGCCCCCGGTAAGTCAACCACACTCCTGTGGAAGGCCACATACATGGGCAGCATAAACTGGGCATTGTGGGTGAAAACAAGGAAACAAAAGTGACTAGATCTTTGATGATTACAGAGAGGGATTGTCTATGCACAAAACACATTGTAGGAAATCTCAACAAACAAATTAAAAAGAAAATTTAAAGAACCTTATCAAAGGTAGTTACTAAGAGAATTTCTGGAAAGCAAAACATTATAATTTGGAGACCATTCACTAAATATGATAGAATCAGGGCACATTTCAAGATAAGAAGACATCATGAGAAGCACAAAACTTGTTAAGTTGCCGCATCTATTGAATGATGAACAGCATATGAAATATTTTCATGGGATAATATAACTTTAACATATAAATTGTTGTAAGATTTGTTTCAATGGAGTGAGATATTTATCATAGTAAAATGCTAAAATGAATAAATTTAAGTCCTGGCTAAATATTTATTTTAAGTAGTACCCTGTGTGGTGGCACAATCAAAGTTTCTGAGAAATTAAGTTGAATAGGGAAGAAGATTGTAAGTTTTAGGCCAGTCTGAGCTACAGAGTGAGCTCATGTGTGAAACAAACAATAAGCTACAAAGAGCAGAAAACCATATCAAGGAAGCATAGAATGAAAAAATAATTTAACATAACAAACTACAGAAATATATCTTGGAAAATTAGCACAGCTATGTAAGCTTATTTATTGATTAATGAAATTAGACTACTTCTAAAATGTGAAGTCTGGCAAGAATTCCTTTTTTACTGATACAAGGTATGAAAAGATAAATTACTGCTTAAAATAAATCTCACATGTTCTCAAACACACACACACACACACACACACACACACACACACACACACACATTCTGATTATTATCAACCTCACACATCTTATATCCCTTATTACCCTATTTCACTCCCTTCTCAGGGCCTAGACCTTCCCCCATGTGTCTAGGCTGAGAGAGTATCACTCTATGTGGAGTGAGCTCCCAAAGTGCATTCGTGTATTAGGAATAAATACTTATCCACTTCCAGAAGCCCCATAGATTAACCAGACCTACAAACTTGCTTCCAGGGGGTCTGGACATTCAGGGGGTCTGGAACAGTCTTATGATAGTTTCCCAGCTATCACTCTGGGGTCCATGAGCTCCCCCTTGTTCAGGTCAGTGGTTTCTGTGGGTTTTTCCAGCCTGGTCTTGACCCCTTTGCTCATCACTCCTCCCTCTCTGCAACTGAATTCCAGGAGTTCATCTCAATGTTTAGCTGTGGGTGTCTGCTTCTGCTTCCATCATTTACTGGATGAAGGCTGTACAATGGCATATAAGGTAGTCATCAATCACATTATCTGGAAAGGGCATTTAATGCAGCCTCTCAACTATTGCTTAGATTTTTAGTTGGAGTCATCCTTGTAGATCTCTGGACATTTACCTAGTCTCTTTAAACCTACAATGGCTCCATCTATTATGGTATCTCTTTTCTTGCTCTCTTCTATTCTTCCCCTGACTCCTTCATGTCCTCCTCTCCCCACTTCTTCTCACCTTCTCTTTCTCATAACTCCCTCTCCCCTCCTCCCATGCTCCAATTATCTCAGGAGATCTTATCCCTTTCACATTCACTGGGGTACCATATATGTCTCCCATAGGGTTTCTGTTTTGTAGCTTCTCTGCAGGTATGGATTTTAGGCTGGAAATCCTTTGCTCTATGTCTATAATTCGTATATGAGTTAATACATATCATGTTTGTCTTTCTGTGACTGGGTTACCTCACTCAGGATGGTTTCTTCTAGTTCAATCCATTTACTTGTAAATTTGAAGATTGCATTTGTTTTTCTACTAAGTAGTACTTCATTGTGCAAATGCAGCATATTTTTTGTATCCAGTCTTGGTTGAGGGGCATCTAGGTTGCTTCCAGGTTCTGGATGTTACAAATAATGCTGCTATGAACATAGTTGAACAGATGTCCTTGTTGTATGAATGTGGATCTTTTGGGTATATGCCTAAGTGTGGAATTGCTGGATCTTGAGGTAAACTGTTTCCCATCTTCTCAAGAAACCACCACACTGATTTCCAAAATTACTGTACAAATTTGCAATCCCATCAGCAATGGGGAAGTGTTCCTCCTTCTCCACATCCTCTCTAGGATAAACTGTCACTAGCTTTTTTTATTTTAGCCATTCTGGCATGTGTATGATGGCATCTCAGAGTTGTTTTGATTTGCATTTCTCTGATGGCAAAGAATGTTGAGCAATATCATAAATGTCTTCCCAGCCATTTTAGATGCCTCTATTGAGAATTCTCTGTTTAGTTCTGTACTGCCCTTTTTAATTATATTGTTTGGTGTTTTGGTGACTAGATTCTTGAGTTCTTTGTATATTTTGGAAATCAGCCATCTGTCAGTTGTGGGGTTGGTGAAGATTTTTTTCCCAATCTGTGGCCTGCTGTTTTGTCATGTTGACTGTGTCTTTTGCCTTACATAAGCTTCTCAGTTTCAGGAGGTCCCATTTACTAATTGTAAATCTCAGTGTATGTGCTACTGGATTTATGTTCAGGAAGCAGTATCATGTTCCAATTCATTTAAGGGTACTTCCCATTTTCTCTTTTAAGAGGCTCAGTGTGGCTGGATTTATATTGAGGTATTCTATTCATTTGTACTAAATTTTATGCATTGGGATAGATATGGATCTATCTGCAGTCTTCTACATGTCCACTTCCAGTTATGCCATCACAATTTGTTGAATTTGCTTTCTTTTTTCCATTGTTTTATTTTAGCTTCTTTGTCAAAAATCAGGCGTTCATAGGTGTGTGGGTTAATATCAGGGTTTTTAATTGATTCCATTGGTCTGCTCGTCTATTTTGTGCCAATACCATGTTGTTTTCATTATAATAGCTCTATAGTAGGTCATGAAGTCAGTGATGGTGATGCCTCAAGAAGTTCCTTTATTCTACAGGGTTGTTTTGGCTATATTTTTTTTTTTTCACAGAGCTTACTTTTTTGGCTCTTACATTCTTTCTTTCATCTCCAGTTATATGATTAGCATCATTGTATATTTTGTCTTTTCTTTGTGTGAGAGAGTTTCTAATAAATCTTAAAGTTGAAAATCCATGCAAGATCAGAATATTGACATTTTATAAACATTTCTACTTTTGCCCTTTAATGACTGAACTCTTACTCAATTAGGGATTCAATATTTGGACACTGTGACTTATTTTTCTTAATTCAATAGTATAGAGGATAGTCATTGTATATTCCCCTCAATGTATGTGCTTTTTGCATTACAGTCCTTCTTAGTTCAGATGAAATGAAGGGAAAAATGAGAACAGTAATAAACTATTTCTATAAATTTAATATGTAGAAATCCATGTTTTTCATTTATAGAAATGTCAATATGAATTAACAACATAAAATTATATTGCATATTTTCTTAGTTGTAAAGTGCCAGTAATACTTATTTCTTTACATGGTAACAAAAATACATTGTACTAGCCAAGTGTGTCACTAGTAAGTGAGTGGGAATGAGCATGGGCCCTTTGTCTGTTTGGCTTCACTGTTTAACTACTGTGGACTGCCTCTGTTCCTCTCAAGAACTGGGTCCAAACAGAAACATATTCTGAGAATCACCATGCATCCAGGTGTTAATCCTGGGATCACCATGTATCCAGTATATAATCCTAGAAGGAACATGACTCTAGTACCTAATCCTACGAATACCATGCATCTAGGACACAATCTTAAAGCACCTTGTATCCAGTACCTCATGCAATAGTTGCTCAAGATGTCATTTAATTTTTACATAAAATTAAAAGAATTTATATAACTTGAGAATTAGAAAACAATTAGAAAATTCTGAAAAAGATGTCCATAATTTCTCTGGAGAAATTCGTTGTGGATAATAATTCACAGTTTTCAGGGAAATTTGCTTTCTCAGGAGTATCTGTCACTTTTCCTTACTGATCCCCACTCTACTTCTAAACTTAGGGACATTGTTTTGAATCATAAAAATTATAGAAACTTAAACTGAATAATAGAATTTTATAGGAAATTCATTCTTAATATTTAAGGATATGTTTTATAATAATAAAATACAATTATTATTTTAATAAATAAAATGTTATCCATACATTTATTTATTTTAATGATTCATTAAGGGAATTACATAGAGAGCAAAAGTATTCTACAGCATAAGTAATTTATATGTAGAATTTGTGTATATGGAAATGAACATTGTTACCCAGAGAAATCTGGGCACTGTCTCATATATATATGTGTGTGTGTGTGTGTGTGTGTGTGTGTGTGTGTGTGTGTGTGTGACTTTTTGTGTGTAGCATTGTCTCTCATAGAACTAGCTCTGTTAAACAAACTGGTCTGAGTTCACAGAAATCTGACTGCTTTTGCATCCCTAGTGATGGGACTAAATACTTGATCTACTACCACCTGGCTAAACTAATTGTTTACTCCTTCAGAATATGAATTCAGAACATGTCAGCAGGAAACAACTGTACAGTGACTGAGTTCATCTTGGCTGGGCTCTCAGAGAAGCCCGAAGTCCAGATGCCCCTCTTCCTTCTCTTCATTGGAATCTATGTGGTCACTGTGGTGGGGAATCTGGGCATGATCACACTGATTGTGCTCAGTTCCCACCTGCACAACCCCATGTACTATTTCCTCTGCAGTCTGTCCTTCATTGACTTCTGTCAGTCCACAGTTGTTACCCCAAAATTGCTGGTGAGCTTTGTGACAGAGAAGAATCTCATCTCTTATCCTTCATGCATGACTCAGCTCTACTTCTTCACCATTTTTGGCATTGCAGAGTGTTACACTTTAGCTGCAATGGCATATGACCGCTATGTTGCCATCTGTAAACCCTTGCTTTACAGTGTCACCATGTCCTATCAGATTTACAGTTCCATGATTGCAGGAGTGTATATTTTTAGTGTGTTCAATGCATCAGTTCACACAGGCTTCATGATAAGGATTCAGTTCTGTCAATTAGATGTGATCAACCACTATTTTTGTGATCTTCTTCCCCTCTTGAAGCTTGCACACTCTAATACCCATATCGATGAATTGTTGATTCTATTGTTTGGTACATTGAACATCTGTGTCCCAGTCTTTACCATCATTACTTCCTACACCTCCATCATTGCCAGCATCCTCCACATTCGCTCCACTGAAGGAAGGACCAAAGCCTTCAGTACGTGTAGTTCTCACATCTCTGCTGTTGCTATCTTCTTTGGTTCTGGTACATTCATGTACTTACAGCCATCATCAATGAATTCGATGGGCCAAGGAAAAGTGTCATCTGTGTTTTATACTATTGTTGTTCCCATGCTAAACCCCTTGATCTATAGCCTGAGGAATAAGGATGTCAGTACTGCCCGGAAGAAAATATGTCAAAGAAAAACATTCATATAATCAGGAGCAACATGAGCATTAATAGAGAAATTATCCATAAATACATAGTTTGAATTTATGTTATTTATTTTATTTACTTTTAAGAATACTCATTTGCTAGGATACTTCGTTAAATTGTAGAAGTCTACATTCAAAATTCAATTTTCTATGCATATGTTCTCACTTTTATTTCATAGACTAAACAATGTAAGCCAATAATAAGGATGACATTAATCTTTATACACATAATGGATAGCTCATCACATTTTATATATAAACATATATATAATATATATTCTCATTTTTATCAATAGTACTTTAAAAATATAAAACTTCATTCTGAATTCCAACAAACCAAAAAACTGGTATTTAATTATAATTCATTTTTGGGAATTTAATATGTATGTGCTCTAATTATATCATTCCCTTTCTCCTTCTAATTACTCCCAAGGTCCCCCTGCTCTCTGTCAGAGAAATTGCCTCCTTTCATTTTATTAATGTATATTTGAAATATATATATATATATATATATATATATATATGTTTATTCATAGGAACACTGAGTCTAACTCAACCATCATTAATTGACTATAGCTGTTAATCTATGGGTTGAGTCCCCTGAGATTTTACTCTTCCACATTGGTGTGCCAACTGCTATCATTTTTGTATCTTGTTAAGCACCCTGTATTGTTCAGAACCATAGGGCCATTTTTCTGTCATACATAGAAGACACAATCCCACCACAGCCTTCCTTACCTCCTGACTCTCAGAACATCTTTCTTTTTCTTCCAAATGTTCCCCAAGTCTTATGTGGAGTCATTGTATCATAGATGGATTAACAGTGGTTCTTTACCACATCATCAATTGTTCCCTCTGTTTAGACCAGTTATGGATTTCTGTAATGGTGTCCATTTGCTTCAAGGAGACTTACACTTATCAGTCAGCAAGACGATGAATACTAAGTATGTGATTAGAGATGATACTAGTTTAAAGTAGTGTCACTATTAGACTCTCCTCTATGTTCCATGGGCTCATCATTGGTCAGAGTTGACTGTATTTATAGAACCAGTCATGAAGTATCTCCTTTTGAGGGAACCTGAAATATAATTTTATATATACTGATTATTGTTATGATGTAACTGACACTATTGTCCTTTAAGAATAGCTTGCTTTGCTGGTTATTACTGTGGTTCTTAGGTGTCACAGATGGGTAGATTTATTAACTGTTTTACTTACCTGGCACCTTGGGAGATATATAACATTTTCCACAATGAGAAAGACAGTCCTCCTTTCCTTCTCTGAGTCCACTGACCTGTAGAGGCCTTCAGACCCTTCCTGCAACCAAATCCTGCAAAGGGACCTGGAGGCATTCCAAAGCAGCCATCGTCAGCCACAATCCCTGCCTTCCCCCTCCACCCTCCAGTAGAGGGAGCAAGCAAGGAACAAGTGAGCATACAGATCCTTGAACCCATACCCACCAGAAGAGGGCGAGACCCCAACTATACCCACTGGAAGAAGAGATGGGAAGACAACAGTATAAGAGCATATCCAACAACAGAAAGACTTATCGGACACCACCAGAGTCTAGGAACACCACACCACCAAACCTGACCATCCCAACGCAGATGAAACAGAAAAGAATGACCTTAAAAACAGCTTCATGAAAATGATAGAGGCCACAATCCACACCACTAGGGAAGTTAGGAAACAGGGAGGACTCTAAGAGAGATATACATCATCCCCTGGAAAAGGGGAAAGGGACAAGATCCCCTGATCAAATTGGGAGCATGGGGGGGGGAGAGGGAGCTAGGAGAATGAGAAGGGGAGAAGAGGAGGGGAGAGAAACCATAATAGAGGGAGCAATTAGAGGTTTAAGGAGAAATTAGGCACCAGGGAAATGTTCAGAGATCTACAAGGTGACACCAACTAACCATCTAAGTTGATGATAGTGAGATTGATGACTAACTTATATGCCATCCTAGAGGTTTCATCCAGCAGCTGATGGAAGTAGAAGCAGATACCCACAGCTAAACTTTGAATGGAACTGGAATATAGTTGCCAAGAAGGAGGAGTGATGAGCTAAGGGGTCAAGACAAGGATTGTGAAACCCACAGAAGCAGCTGACCTGAACAAGTGGGAGCTCTTAGTCCCCAGACTGAACACTCAGAAACCAGCATGGAACTGATCCAGACCCCATGGATGTGGGTGTCAGTGAGAAAGTCTTGGGAATCTATGGGGCCTCTTGTAGTACATCAGTACTTATTCCTAGCATAGGAATGGACTTTGGGAGCCCATTCCACATATACTCCCTCAGCCTAGAGACACTGGGGACAGCCTAGGCCCTATCCCAAAAGATATGACAGACTCTGAAGACCTCCCATGGAAGACCTCACTCTCCCTGGGGAGCAGAAATGATATGGGATAGGTAGGGTGTTAGTGGGGGGCAGGGAATGAGAGGAGGGAGTGGGAACTGGGATTGGCATGTAAGGCAATCTTGTTTCTAATTTAAATAACAAATGGTGGAAAATTGGGAAAAAGATAGGGATGGTGACTAGCAATTGCTTGCACCACATTGGGAGGTGGAGACATATAAATTGCTATAGTAAACTATTCACCCAGACTAGGCTACTTGGCTAATTTCATGCTAATAAGAGACCTCGCATCAAAAAAGTAGACAACCTAAGGAACATCACCAGAAATTTTCCTTTGCCCTTCATGGGCTTATACATACGTATGCACATGCATCTTCATTGGTACATATATACATGCAAATTAATAAGTTGTTTTCATATATTGATGCATGCCTATAATTCCATCCATGGGAGTAAATGAGGCATGAGTCCTCAAATATACAAATTACAGATATGATATATGATATAAAAGGAGACTGGTTTATTATTTTAAATCTCTAGCTGGTTTTTTTCAGTAAGATATAAGTTTCAGACTGTTTTTCTGACTTTCTAAGACCAGCTCATTAGATTGTGGTCTGGAACAACTCCACTGTCTCTTAGCTTAAAGAAATGCAGAATCTTAAATTCTACTAAAATATCATTTGTCAAAATAACGATTTTAATTCAGATAGTATCTCTAAATAAATATTTACTACCAATGTTGTATATTTGGATAACAGAAAAATGATTAGCCAGATGGGAAATGGTATTTTCTTGCCTTTCAGGAGTTTTTTCCCTGACAGCTGGAAATCCTTGGAGAGTGTGTAATGCCATTTGGAGCTGGCATATAACCAACAGGCTTAAAGGACACCAGCATAAAGGAAAAAACTGTGGTTCCACATGTGCTGAAACTTTTCTGATGTTCTGATTGCATCCTTTGAACCTGCATTGGTATTGCATATCTTATTTGGATATTATCACAGTGAAGCCACTGCTTATTTATAAATGGTGTCTCAGATGTCCATTTCTTTAGGCATCATCCAGGGATGTTTGAATTCCCTGAGCTAGGAAGGATTTATGCTTTGTTGTTTTAATAGATTTTGCATTAAATCACTTATCCTAGACATGAAGAAATGTTTTCCATCCCATAGTTTATATATTCCTAGTTAAATCTTAAAATTTTAAAGAATTTTCTTGGTCTGTGGATACATTTCCCTAGTTTGCTTCGTCTTTGTAGTAAATTTAAAGGTGGGCCACAAGTAGTGTACCTCACCCAGGGAAATGGATGATATCTAACTCTTTTTTTTTTCAAAAGGAAAAGCTTTTGTAGTGTTAGAATCTATTGGACCCTCCTAATGTGTGATTCCTTCTATGATGACTATGATTTATGTGATTAAGCTCAATGATAAGATTAGACCTTCTCTTCTGTATTACAGAATACATAGGCCCATTAAATTAGGTAACTAATTTGAAACAACTATGTTTAAGTATTACATGCTTTGCATTTCCAATTCATCCTGATGATCATTAAGGACTATAAATTGTTTTACAAGCAAAATAAATTTCTGGAGAATGATATTAAATCTATAGACATGTGAATAATTAATAAAAACCTTTTATGAAACATAAAATATAAAATAATGAGGAGCATCATATTTATTAAATTAATAGAGGTGATGCATTTCAAAGTTTTTTTAATCATTTTTATTTGAATTGGAAACAAGATTGTTTTACATGAAAATCCCAGTTCCTTTCTCCCTTCCCGACTCCCCTAGCATCCTCCCAACTAAAACCCTACCTATCACATAGCCTTTATTCTATTCTTCCCCTGAATCAAGCTTTCTGTTCCCTCATGACCTCTGCATCCTTCCTCTTCTACCCTTCTCATTCTCATAGCTCCCTCCCCACTCTTCCCCTGCTCTCAATTTGCTCAGGGGATCTTGACCCTTTCCCCTTCTCCAGGGAACCATGAATGTCTCTCTTAGGGTCTTCCTTGTTTACTAGCTTCTCTGGTAGTGTGAATTGTAGGCTGGTAATCCTTTACTCTATGTCTAAAATCCACATATGACTGAGTACATATCATGTTTGTATTTTTGTGATTGGGTTACCTCTCTCAGAATGGTTTCTTCTAATTCCATCCATTTTCCTTTAAATTTCAAGATTCAATTGTTTTTTTTTTAATGTAACACATTTTTTTTCTATCCATTCTTCAATTGAGGGGCAACTAGGCAGCTTCTACTTTCTGGCTATTAAAAAAAAAAGGCTGCTATGACCATTGATTGTTCATTCTTGTTTGTTTTTGATTTGGTGATGGTGAAATTATGTGTGGGATTCTATCCCTTTTTCCTTTTGTCTGTTGGTAAAAAAGATTACTTATTGCCTATATTCTATCCATTCCTCAATTGAGGGGCATCTAGGCAGCTTCTACTTTCTGGCTATTAAAAAAAAAGGCTGCTATGACCATTGATTGTTCATTCTTGTTTGTTTTTGATTTGGTGATGGTGAAATTATGTGTGGGAGTCTATCCCTTTTTCCTTTTGTCTGTTGGTAAAAAAGATTACTTATTGCCTATATTTTTCTGGTTGTAGTTAACTTCCTTGGGTTGCAGTTTTCCTTCCAGAACTTGACATT